CCTCTGGGTGGACTCAGTTGGGGGCCGAGCACGCTAACACTTTGCATTGCCTAGGGGCTTTGGGAACGGAGGACTTCCTCGCGGCCCTGGAGTCGTTTCGCCCCACAGTGGCCCTCCAGGTCAGGGTGGAACTGCCTGTGTGGGCTCCCCAGGCTGGAGCTCTTTACGGGGCGGGAGTAGAAAGCCCATCTTCCTCCCGTGGAACACATCCGAGGTGCTCCAGAAAGGATTCGGTGCTAAGTGCCTGTTGGCTTAGCCGGAGGTGGCGAATGCACTTTCTTCTTCCTTCCCTCTTGTGGTTTGGGTGAAAGTTTACACAGCAACTGAGCGTCCCATCCAACTGCTCAGACACGTTCGGTTTCGGAACACGGGTTGCCGTTTCTTCAGGGTGGCGGGGCTCTTCCTACTCCCTCCCTGGTGTCCCTCTGTCCTTCCCGCAGGCCCCTCCCTTCTGGTCTCCTGAGCGTTCATTGTTTGTTTCGGGGCGAATGCTCTTGTGAATATCCTAGGCTCACCGTGTGCGTTCAGAGAAACCCCCCTTTTACGAGGCCAGCGAGAGGCTGGATTCTGCAATGGCGTGTGTGTGTGTGTGTGTGTGTGTGTGTGTGTGTGTGTGTACACACAGAAGACCCCCACCCAACGACGGGCTCTCTTCGTGGGTCATCTCTTTGGAGGCAGGGTTCGTCCAGAGATCCGCTCAGGTGCCCTGGGGACTGCCCCACACCCTGTCTGAGCTGCACAGAGGCTGCTGGGAACCCCCTTCCCACGTGAGGGCATCGTCTCCCGACACCTGGGAGGGTGTGGTTCCCTCCAAGGGGACAGTGCCTGGTGTCGTCTGGACCACGTCATCTGATAGTGTCTTTGGAGCAACCTCAACTCTGTTCACGCCAGCAGTGGCCGCCTCCCACCCCGCGTGGCGTTGGATGTTGCTGAGAATAGACTCAGTTTCACATAGAGCCGTCCAATGATTTCCTCTTCTTTTTTCTTTTAACTTAATTTTTGTTTATTAAATCAGCACCAACAATGTGTTGTTGTTACTGTTAGGTGCCACTGGGTGGGTTCCAACCCAGGGAGACCTGACGTACAACAGGGCGCTGCATGGTCCTGAGTGAACCTGTGGTTTCTGTGCTCGAGCCCATGGTTGTGCCCATGCTGTCAGTCCAGCTCCTTGACGGCCTTCCTGTTTCACACGGCCCTTCCACTTTGCCAAGCATGATGTCCTTCTCTGGGGACTGGTCTCTCCTGACTGTGGAGTGGGGAGAGAGTGTGTTTGCGGACAAATTCTTTATTCCTATATTTAAGAAGCCTGGGAGGCCGGGGATCTGGGTGGAGGGAGGGCTTCACACTTGAGTTAGAGATGAGTCCCAATCACGTTCTCACAATCAAGCTTAATCCTCACAATGTCCTCCCATAATAGTGCTACCTTAAAGCTACCTTTACAAGCACACGGCTGATTGCGATCTGGCCGGCAGCTGTATCTATAGGAGCAGACCTGTTGCAATGGCTCTCCGTGCTCGGGACAGTCACTGCCCTCGGCACTGGTGTGAGGTTACTCCCTCAGTGAATTCAGGGACCTCTAGGGTCAAGGTAAGCCCACTTTGTCACATATGTGGTTACCTGTAATTGGGGGGGGGGGCTTGCATGCCTGAGACTATATAAGTTGATGTCAGACTACATCGTCTCTCTCCAGGACCTGGTTCCTGATACCATGGAGGTGAACACCCTGAAACTTTTGTCTGTCTCTTAATTTCTTCCCTTAGGACCCATCCAGAACGGGCTGCATCCCACACCTGACAACAGGTCCCAAGTATGTGAGACGAAGCCTGACCATCCTTGCCTCTAAAGAGCACTCTGGCGGACTCCTTCCCAGACAGATCTGTTTGTTGTTTTGGCAGTCCACGGTACTTTCAACAGTCTTTTCCAGCACCACAATTCAAAGGCATTAATTTGCCGGCCTTCCTTGTTCAATATCCAACTTTCACAGGCAGATGAGGCAACTGAAAATACCATGGCTTGGGTCAGGGGCACCTTGGCCCTCCAAGTAACAATTCCTGTAGCACCATTTAGGGACACTGCTTCCATGCTTTGAGTTGTACCACCATCCTCGCTTCCTTTCCTGAGTGGAGCCTGCTTCAGTAACAGCCTCATTGCTCCCTAAGGTTCCTGTCCCTTCTTTGATTTGCTGTTGTCACTTTGGCCTCTTCTAGATAGTTCTTAAGAGAACATAATGCGGGTGCAGGGAGGGAGGGGGGAAAATGAGGAGCTGATACCCAGGGCTCAAGTAGAAAGCAAATGTATTGAGAATGATGATGGCAACAAATGTGCAAATGTGCTTGACAAAAAAAAAAGGGGGGTGGGAGAGAGAACATAATGCTCAAGGAAGAGCCATTTGCTGTTGTGTTTTAAACTAGTCACGCCAAACTACTGTTTGGTTTTAAGAAGCCAGTATCAAGGCGTAGTTTTGGTTTAAAGTTTAAAGACAATCTCAGAGCATAGCATCAGGTGTTCAACAACCCCCCCTGGATCCCTGGATTACATTTCCCCATTTTTGATCATGATTCTTCTGCAGAATCTCTAATCAGAACATTCAATAATAGTAGCTGTACCCCAGCAGTTTTAAGTGTCAAACACAGGTGGTTATTTGCCTAAAACAAATGCATTTATTTCTCTACAGGATCTAGACCAGTGGTTCTCAACCTTCCTAATGCCGACCCTTTAATACAGTTTCCTCATGAGGTGGTGACCCCCCCACCACAAAATTATTTTCGTTGCTACTTCATCACTGTCATTTTGCTACTGTTATGGATCAGGCGACCCCTGTGAAAGGGTCTTTCGACCCCCAGGTTGAGAACCACTGAACTAGACAAAGGGGGAGGGGGGAGGAAAGGCAACAGTAGCAGCCAAGCCCACACCCTTGGTACACCACTGCTGACACTGAGGGGCACATCCCCATTTCCCTGTGCTGTTCACGGTTCTCTTCTCTCTCCATGGACATCATGACAGACATGTGTGTACTGCACGGTCCTCCCCCGGCCAGTTACCAGAGCTGTCCTATATTTCAAGAGGTGAATGGATCATAGCTTAGTGAACCCTTCCATTGTCATTTTGTTTCTTGTGAAGGTGGCAGTTTTCTTTTTAGCAACCCAATTTCCTTTCATGAGTAGATTCAGGAGAATGTCATCCAAGTCCTGGCTCAGGAATTTAATTATCCCCCTTTACTTGACCTGGTTCTTTATGTCATAAAGATATTAACTTCTGTGCGTTGTGTTTGTTGTCCTTACTGGACTGGGCCCTGGTTCTTTTGCCTTCAATCTGAAGCACACACTTCAAAGTCACTCTCTTCATGCTGATTAGGGGGATCGCTGTTGTGTGCCTGGACGTGGTCACACTGTCCCCCCGGGGGATGGCTCAATTGCTTCTACACTCGAAAGGCCCTACTTTTTCTCCTGGGCCCTCTCCTCCCTCTGGTGTCTATGGCTTTTTAAAAACCCACTGGGAATTGATTTTGAAGAATGGTTTGACACAACAAACCCACTGTCATGCAGTCCACGCTGACTCATGGAGACCCTTGGAAGTCTGGGAGGAGGATTCTGTTCCACGATTATTCAGTGACAGGCCTGTAAGCGGGTGGCACCGTGGGTAAGCATGCGGCTGCTCACCAGGAGGACAGCGGTTCAAGCCCACCAACTGCTTCATGGAAGAAGGATGAGGCTGTCTGCTTCAGTAAAGATGATTGCCTCGGCCGCCCCATGGGGACAGTTCTGCTCTGTCCTTTAAGCTCCCCAAGGAATTGACTCAATGGCAGCCGGCTTTGGGCCCGACGTGATCTGGCACCGATTTTCCCCATCGGTTTGTGATTCCTTTTAAAACCACCTCTTCTTCCTTGGACCAGGCCTGCTGTGGGCCTCCTGCCTCGGGGGCTGGCCTGTGTCGAGTCAGAGGAGCCCGGGGGTATCGCGGTCAAGCATTTGGCTGCTGGCTGGGAAGTCCGGGGTTGGGCCCCCCCACAGTGGTGCTGAGGGGTCCAGCCAGCCGGTCTGGAGCCTGGAAAACCCCGTGGAGGTCACAGCCCGTCGGACTCGCCTTGAGGGCACCCAGTCCCTTTATAATGTCAGAAATGCAGGAAATCCTGAGGTCGGTCCTCGTCAAGAGGAGGAACTTGGTCCAGCTGCAAATGATGAGAATGGCCACGACTGGACATTAAAAAAGGAACTCGGCATTGAAGCAGAAGCCGTGACTCCCTACAACCCAGCAGGGAGAGGGCGCCTCACTCCCCGGGACTGGGGGGCGGGGGGGGGCGGTGGAGCAGAGGTGGGAAGCTCAGTGGGAAAGCCGGCAGAGGCAGCAAGGGGTCTCCACAGGGAAAAAGGCGCTTGGCTTGAAATCTGCTATGTGGTGACCAAACATAACCAGACCACCCTGTCACCCCCCCACCCCCACCCCAGGAAAGACATCTCTAAGCAGCTGGGCCCGAATGGAGTCAAGTCTCATAAAGGAGAAACCAGGAAGGCTGGCACCTCGATTGAAGCAATCGTTCAGCAGATGCCACATATTTGGGCGTCAGCAAGCTGTCACCACCCCAGCACACTCACGGGAACAAGGGGCGGAGCCAGTCTTCCAGGATGGCGTCGGCAGCCGGGGGGAACAGGGGGGCCGAGCAGCACAGGCAGAAGCCGGATGAAAACATTTTATTTTAAAATGAAGACTTTGGTGAAAGGAGTGTGTGTGGGTGTGTGGGTGTGTCGGGGCCGTGGGGATCTGGTTTGGGTTTGTCTGTCATTGGTCGGAGACACTGAATCCAAAGTCCTGGGACCTTGGAGTTTCGACTTTGCAAACTGTCTCAAGCACCGTTGCACCTTCCCGACTGGGCAAGGGCGGTGAGTCTCCCTGTGGACGCGCTGCAGTGCCCAGGGGGCCAGCCGTGGTGAAGAGTTTAGGGGCCTAGTCCAGACGGGACAGGGAGCCATGTCCCCAGGGAAGAACTGCTTTGGAGAGTCAGCTCATCCGGGGGCCTCCTCGGTGGTGCAAAGGCTAAGTGCTTGCCTGGCGGCTGAAAGGCTGGAGGTTCGAATCCAGAAGCTCCTCAGAAGACGTCCTGGCCCTCTGAGAGGTCACCATCTGGAGACCCTCTGGAGCAGCTGTGCCCCACACACGTGGAGGGGCTCCCACAGGCAGAAGGCACCGAGGGCAGCATGGCTGGCTCTGGACAGACCCAGAGCTTGCTTTCTGCACCGACGATTTCCAAGGGCTTTCTGGTCACGAGGCTGAAGCCCTGAGGGGGCAGGTGTTGATGCCTGACGACCAGGGCCGTAAGTGGCTGGCAGGACCGTGCAGGTCTGGCTGCTCTGAGCAGGTGCTGGTGGTTGCCCATGGAGTGTGTCCAGGTGGGCTGGAGGCAGGGGCCAGGCTGGGGCAGGTGGGAGGCAAGGAGCAGAGAGGAGAATGGAGGTTGGCCACCAGCCGCGGGGAGCAGTGGGTTCTGCCCAGTGCTGCTCAGATGAGCTGGGTTTGCCCAGAGCAGGCCTCCTGGACCACAGACCCCGCCCTGGTCTCAGTCTTGCTGGCCCCCAGGGGTCCCAGAGCCCAATCGGATCCCGCTGATCACAGCAGGAGGGGCGAGGGGCCTCGTGAGTTGCTGCTGGTTCACTAGCAGACTGGGGACTACGACCCCTTCCACTTCCCCCCAAGGCTGTGGAGAAACCCTCGCGTCATGAGGTGCTACGCTGGGTGCTGAGATGGGGTACCCCGCTGGGTGCTTGATGGGCTCAGAGTGTGGCCAGCTGTGGAGGGGCCCCTGTCCTGGCCCTACCCCTGGCACCCGGCTCTGACCAGAAGGCAGTGTGGCTGCACCTCAGCCCTGCATGGCCTGGGCTCACTTTGGTGCCGTCTCACGGTTGTGGGGCTGGTCTGCATGTCTTTGGTGATCTCACCCCGAGGGGAGTGAGGGGTGGGGAGAGTGGGTCCCTGGCTGGGGCTGGGTGGGGGGCACAGTCTAGAGGCACTCAGAGCTCCAGCTTCTTGTTGTCAAGAGGCTGGACCCCAAGCCCGGCAAGCGGGGGCTGCCTGGCTGGGCCCTGGGGGCTGGGGGGCTGGCCTGTGGCTGCGTAGTCCCGCAGGAGCCCGCTCTCCACGCCGTGCCGCCGGAGGTGCTCGGTCCCCACGAGCCCCTGCTGTCTCAGGTAGCCCTGCTGGCAGGAGGGTGGCAGCTTCTGGCGCGTCAGGGCAAACAGGAAACAGGACTCTGCACAAAGGCCACAGCGGGGCAGTGAGCAGATGGCCAGGGGCCCTGGCTCCCCCGAGGTGCCAAGATCAGGCAGCTGCTTGGGCATCCCGGAAGAACAAGGCTCCGGAAGGTGAGGAGTCACAGACGTGACTCAGGGAGCCAGGTTGGGGTGAAGGGACCCTCAGCCCTGTCTCCTGAAACTGCCCACCTGTGGCTGGGACCCTAAGGGGCCCAGTTGGAGCTCAGACACGGCCAGCAGAGGGTCTGAGCGTGTCTGCCGGGACCCGTGGAGAGACACGGCCAGCAGAGGGTCTGAGCGTGTCTGCCAGGGGCGGTGGGGTCGGGCGTGAGTCTGCGTGTCTGCGTCTGCTTCCAGCATCACAGCAACGTGAGTGACTACAGTACAACACACTGACAGATGGGCAGGGGGTGTGCTCCTGATACCTTGAGAAGTAGCGGGGCTTCGTAGGGAGGGGCTCTAATGTCCCATCACCCGGTGGTGTCTGACCAGGAAGGAGGGCCTGGAGAACCCTCGGCGTTTGCAGTTGCTCAGCTCTGGCTCGACGTACAAATGAACAAGGCGCATCCACGGATCTTCATGTATTAGAGGACTGTCTGTAGCGGTCTCCCGGCAGGGCCCCTTGTAGTAACTCCTTAGTAGCATGTTTTTCTTCCTATTGCACCTGCTGGGGTCTGGGCTTTATTTGAGGGTCTCTACACAGACCTCCTCACCTCCCTGCCGTCGAGTCAATGCCGACTCGGAGAGACCCTATAGGACAGGGTAGCACGGCCCCCGTGGGGTTCTGAGACTGTCACTCTTTACGGGAGGAGAGGCCTCCTCTTTCTCCTGGGCAGTGGCTGGTGGGCTTGAACTACTGTGGTCACTAGCCTCACTCGGTCACTAGCCTCACTCGTACCACCACAGCACCGGGGCCTTTGGTCTCGGACTCTGGACACATTACCAGGAGAGAGAAGTCCCTGGAGAAGGACACTGCTTGGTGAATTGGAGGGGCGGTGACAAAGAGGAAGGCCCTTGACGAGACGGATGGACGCAGAGGCTGCAGCCGTGGGTTCAACTCTAAGAGCCACTGTGAGGTGGGTGAGGGCCAGGTGGTGTTCCATTCTGCTGCACACGGGGTCGACCCGGCAGCACCTGACCACAACAACCAATTCTCCCCCTGAGCCCCGGCCTCAGCTCCCCACTGGCCCCAGCACGGGCCTGCCAGGACCTCACTCAAGGACCTGATGGCCAGCGGCCAGGGGAGGCCCAGGAGTCAGGTTGGCTTTCTCGCAGCCCGGGGCCTGCATGAGCACCTGGTCTACCAACCTGCAGCAGCGCGCAGCCCCGGGTTTGCGTCTCTCCCTGGGGCCCTGAGAGCCCTTTGTGCTTGGGCACTCCCGGGACGTTACCTGCATAGAAGTGGCGCAGGTCGGTGGCCAGGCAGTTCTCCAGGAAGCGTCTCAGGGGCAGGATGTGTCCGACCGGGGCAGTCCAGTCTGTCAGGAAGTCCTCCACCACGTGGTGGATGGCGCTGGGCCGCGGCAGCAGCCAGTCTGCGGGGCGGAACCTCACCTCCTGCTCTGGGGGGCACAGGGAGAGTCATGTCGGGCTGGGAGGCTGGGGAGCCCACCCTAAGTGGCCCTGGTTCGTGCTTGGTTTCCTGATCCACTTCAGTACAGCCCCCCATGGGCTTGTTCAATGACTGTTTGCAAAGATTTAGAAGATTGATCCACTGAAGAGGACAAGACTCTTTCCTGGCAGTGTCAGAGATCCGACCCCTGCAGTCAGAGACCCGTTCCTGAGGTCAGAGACCTGTCACCTACAGTCAGGGACCTGACCCCTGCAGTCAGAGACCTGTCCTCTGCAGTCAGGGACCTGTCCCTGCAGTCAGAGACCTGTCCCTGTGGTCAGGGACCCGACCTTGCAGTCAGAGACCTGACCCCTGCGGTCAGAGACCCGACCATGCAGTCAGAGACCTGTCCCCTGCAGTCAGGGACCTGTCCCTGCAGTCAGAGACCTGACCCCTGCAGTGTGAGAGGGTGGAGCTCAGGGCGATGACTGGTCCTTTGTAAAGACTCACGTGAACTGAAGGCCCATGTGGGTGCTTCAGAGCTGCGCTGGCCGGGTAGGCTCAGAAGCCCTGCATTGCAGTAAGGACCTTGTAGTCAGCTGCCCACCTGGTGTGGGAGCCACAACTTGACCATCTTGGGCTGGGGAACCAGCAGGCAATCCACCCCACCTCGGGGCTCCTCTACTGGGAGGGGCTCCTCACACTGGACACAGCCTCCCCTGCCCCTTAGAACACACATCTGTGGGTCCCTTGCCCCCCACGACGGCAGTCATGAAGCTGGAGCTCAGTCAGTGGGAGCTCCTCTGGGCTGGGCACCACACTGTCGGCCCTACCAGGAAGTCCTATTGTTGTCCTGTTTGATAGATAAGGCTCAGGGAAGGGACAGTCCCAGGGGATACAGTGAGAAAGGGCGGAAGCCAAATTCACTGCCAACTCACAGCGACCCTATAGGACAGGGTGGAACTGTCCCTGTGGGTTTCTGAGACTGTAGCTCTTTATGGGAATAGAAAGTCCTGTCTTTCTCCCATAGAGGGGCTGGTGGTTTTGAACTGCTGACCTCACAGCTAGCATCCCAGTCCCAAAGCATAACCATTACGTCACCGGGGGCGTGAGGCATGAACAGACAGGATGTTTGCCTAGGCTTTGCTGCACTCCAGCTTTGAAAGCCCCGTTCCTGGTCCTTTCTCTGCTCCTTCATACACTCAGCCTCTGGAGTCCACTCCGCCTCGCGCCTTCCCCACGGCCCCAGGGCCAGTCTCCTTTGAATCCACTCAGACTATAAACCAAACTCCCTGCCTGCAGATGACGTCCAGCAGAACTGCCCAGAGGACCGTTTCTCAGACTGTGACTCTTCAGGGAGCAGGCAGCCTCATCTTTCTCCTGCGGAACTGCTGGTGGTTTCGAACTGCTGGCCTTGTGCTTAGCAGCCCCGTGCATAACTACTATGCCACCAGGGTTCCCTTCACAGCACCACAATGCCCCTCTTACTTGGGGAAACCTAGGAGAGGCTATGCACGCTTGGAGTGGCCTGTATGGGCCACAGGATGTTCCAGAAGATGGGGAACATCAAAGCTTGTCCTCTGACCTTCTTGTTATGTGAGGGCCTGATGGGGATCCCTCGGGCTCACCGGTGGGGAGGTGTCTGTAGTAGTAGACGACGGGGTGGAGGAAGTTGGACTGCCAGGCGTCTCTCATGTGTCCCACCGAGCGGTCTTGGAAGAAGACGTCCTTATCGGGGCCCGAGAAATTCTTGCCATACTCCAGGTTGATGACGAAGAGCCCGTGCCTCGCCTGCCGTCCCGTGAGGGTCTCCAGCTGGGCCAGCATCTGCATGGGGAACTCCTCCAGGTACTCGAAGGAGGTGGCATTCCTGGGCACACGGGAGCCAAGACCCTTAGTCCTGGGGCGGAGGGAGAGGGGCGCGCGGGCAGTTGCATCTCCCCTGAGCCAGCAGAGCTGGCTGCATGTGCCTCACTGTAACACACCACTGTGACAGCCAAGTGCTGACTTCCATAGGACAGAAGCCAGAAACCCCGGGGACCCTGCAAAGGCAGCTGGGCCAGTGAGAACCAGGCGGGCCAGGCCGGAGGACTCAAGGTCAGGGAGCGAACCAGGATGGAGCAGGGTGGGCCAGGTCATGGGGGCTCTAGATGATGCTGAGAAGTTAGGATCGCACCTGGAGAGCTTAGGGTGCCTGGCATTCTCCGGAACCTCCTCGGTTGTTCTGTGCACGGCAGACTGTGGGGCTGAGGGAGCGGGCAGCCTGGACAGGTGGGAGTGGCGAGCTGGTGGCAGTGGTTGGGTCTAGGTCCCATCTGAAGGCAGGGCAGGCAGGGCTCGCCTCGCTCTGATTTCGGGGTGTGTGAATGTGTGTGTGTGTGGGCGCACGGACTACTCACTCCTTCAGCAGGATGACGTCGGCCAGCACACTGAACATCTGGTAGAGCCCAGAGGCCTCGTTCACACGCCGGAGGATGGAGTTGGTCAGCTGGGTGATGGGGAACTCGGTGAAGGGCCAGGCGACGCCGTGGTGGCGTTGTTCCAGGAGCCGATGGACAGCACGCACTGACACGCATGGAGAGACAGGGACAGGGAGCCTTCCAGATCTTATCTCTTGACCCCAGGAGGGCAGGGGGATCTGAGCCACACCTTTGAACTCAGGGCTTGGTGCAAACGTGTGGGTGGTGAGGAAGTAGGAGGGGGAGGCAGGAGAGGGCCAGTGGCCGTGATCTTGGGGAGGGGCCCACAGCACATCTGTTGCAGCTGTTGGACTTTGGCCTTGAATTGAGAAACAGCAGCCAGTGGGGTTCGGCAGCATCATTGCTGCTACTTCACGTGGGACATCAGACCAGACATAGGGACATGGAGAAGCATGTCAAGTGGGGTGTGTGTGTGTGTGTGTGTGTATGTGTGTGTGTGTGTGCTCTCAACAGCAGCAAAAATAAGTCCTAAAGAGCAACAACACAACCAGTGCAAGCCAGTGCAGGACCTTCCAATGGGGCCTTCCCCTTCTCCCAGTCCCCGGCTCTCAGCTCTGAGTGCTCGGCTCTGGCAAGGATGCCATGCAAAAACCCTGCGAGGGCCCCTGCTCTTCACGGGGCAGATGAAGCTTCCACCAACATGCACGTCCGTTCAGTTGTGGGAACAGGGGAGATGGGTAGAGCGTCTGCCTGGGCCAGGCGGGGCCTGTCTCTACTTCCCTCTCACCACATGGATAGGCGTGGGGCTGGCGCCCAGATCCGAGGCCTGCATTGACCCTGTGTCTACCTGGACTCCCCAGCGTGTGGATGGAGCCTGTAGGGGTTGAACTGGGACCCCCTAACATCTGTGCTAACTGGATCCTTGGAGAGCTCCAGGGGCCTTGGTGCCACTCCCCCACTCCCCATCCCCACCCCCCTTTGCTCTTTGGCTGCTTTCATCTCCTTTCTGTCTCAGAAGAGCTGGGCTCCAGACACCCACCCCTGCCCTCAGCCCGCCTCGTTCACGTCGCAGACAGCCCACTCTGGGGGTGATCGCCACAGGCGGACAGGTTAGGGTGGCGGCACCGATTCGGTTGCTGTTAGTTCTGTCCAGTCGGCTCTGACTCCCAGGGGCCCCTGAACAAGAGAAGGAAGCGCCGCCCGGCCCTGTGCCCTCCTCCTCACTCACAGTTGTGAGGTCCGAGCCCAGTGTCACAGCCACCGTGTCCGTCCATCTCCTTGAGGGCCGTCCTCTTTCACTGCCCCTCCCCTTGAAGGACGCTGTCCTTCCCCAGGGACTGCTCTCTCCTGACCACCTGTCTAAAGTGTGTGAGACGAATCTAGCCGCCCTGGCCCCCGAGGAGCACTCTGGCCACACTTCTTCCAAGACAGGCTTCTTTGTCCTTTTGGCGGTCCACGGAGCTGTCGATATTCTTTGCCAGCAGTGTAATTCAAATGCTTCATGTCGGGGTGCTGGGTCCCCCTCTTTTTCCTGGCCTTCTATTTGACCAAGCACATGTCCTTTTCCTGGGACTGGTCTCTTCTCTCTCTCTTTTAATTAAAAAAAAACATTTTATTTGGGGCTCTTGTCACCATCCATCCATCCATCCATTGTGTCAAGCTCATTTGTACATATGTTGCCATCATCATTTTCAAAACATTTTCTTTCTTTGAGCCCTTGGTATATCAGCTCATTTTTCCCCCTTCCCCCACCCTCCCTCCATCATGATCCCTTGATAATTTATATATTATTATTTTGTTCATGTCTTACACTGACCACTGTCTCCCTTCACCCACTTTTCTGTTGTCTGTCCCCCCAGGGGGGTGGGGGGTGGGGAGGGATATATATGTCGATCTGGCCTCCTCTTTTTTTTTTTTGGTCTCCTCTCTTTTTAAAAATTTTATCAAGAATTTTTATTTCTCTGCATCCGAGGTGGTTATAATTCTCTCGATGTGATGAACTTTATTTATTGACCTTTTTCCTTACATATTTTGGTTTTCTGATGTTAAACCCATCTGGGTGATATTTCACATTTGGCCGCATTCCACCTGCTTGCCTTTTGCCCCCATGTTCTGTTGGGAGTGAGCCCCGCCTGTCATTTTCCCTGCTCTTGGGACCCTTGTGAGGGTGGGTCCAGGATCCAGGTTTACCTCCACTGGTCTCTTCTCTTAACACATCCAAAGTCCGTGAGACGAAGTCTCACCATCCTTGCTTCCAAAGAGCATTCTGGCCCTACTTCTTCCAAGACAGATCTGTGTTCTTCTGACAGTCCATGGTACTTTCAATATTCTTTGCTGACCCCAAGATGCAAACGCATGGATTCTTCTTTGGTCTTCCTTATCCAGTGTCCAACTTTCATATGAAGCAACCTTAACCAAGGCACACCTTAGTCATCAAAGTGACATCCTCATTCAATTCTTGAAGGAGGTCTTGTGCAGCACATCTGTCAATGGGACATGTGGTTTGTTTCCTTGATTGCTGCTTCCATGAACATTGATTGTGGAGCCAAGCCAGATGACATCTTTGAGAACTTGACTCTTTTCTCTGTTTGCTATACTGTTACCTATTGGTCCAGTTGTGAGCATTTTGGTTTTCTTTATATGGAGTTGCAATCGACACTGAAGGCTGAAGTCCTGGATCTTCATCAACAAGTGCTTCAAATCCTCCTGACTTTCAGCAAGCAAGATCGTGTCACCTGTACATCTAGTTGTTACAGAGCTTTCCTCCAGTGCCCGTGAACCATACGCCGTTGTCTCTCTACACACATCTTGAAAACCACTTTGACAGCGGAGTCCCCACTTCAGCTGGGATCCGATTTTGAAGAGTGGGGGAAAGGAAGATGACCATTTAGTGGGTGCCATGTGAAAATGTGATGAGGACTCCCCGGACCAGCAACCATTCTTACCAGAGTGACAAGCCATCCTGATGGGAAAACCAAGTGAAGAGGGGGAAAGGGAAAAGACAAGGGCATTTCGGTTGGTGGGAAAGGGTGAGAGGACCAACCTCCTAGAGGGGAAAATACAATGAACAATACTTTTTGGACCCCAAGGGGAGAGTATGCCTGGACCTATGTTCCTAACAGGGCACCTTGGTCCGAGTTCTGTACACTCTCTGGGAACCCAGGCCACAGGCCACGGGATACTGGTTCTTTGAGGCACAAAACATATTCCACACGCCACACCAGAGGGATGTGAGGTGGAAACCTTGCTAGATGAACTGGGCTCTACCTCAAACACACCGGTAATGTGAGGAGTTAAACAGGCTGACACTGCATGGTGTGTGACGAAGCAGCGGACGGCTGTACCAGGAGTAGGGACCTGTCTGTGGGCGAGTCAACGTGGACTGACCACGTCAATGCCCTACTGGCTTTATTACGACACATAGTATTCTGGAAGACCCGGGTCTGACATCGTCAGTACTATTGCTGGAGGTTTTGCCTGACCACCAACTTCTGCTGTTTGTGCAAACAGTGTCCAGTCACATCAGGATTTAATCCGGGCAAGTCAATAATTCACGCATTGCGATTTGTAGTTCGCGGACACTCGTTTGATGCCCCTTTCTCAACTGTGTCTTAAGTACGTTACCGTGGGCTAAGCCAATGGCACTATCAACCGACGGACCTCCCTCATGCTACAGGGAGGTGATGGATAAGATTCTCCACCATAAAATAGCAAAGATGTCTCTAAGATGAGCCAGAGGCAGATAGAAAACAGTTTCGGGAATGAGTTTTGGCTCGCACGCAATTCTAGCTCCACTCTAAGAACGATCAGTTCTTAGGACATGGCCCTGCTCCACACATGACCTCCTGAAGGGAACGTGGAAGATCTGGGTGCTACGGTACAATGTGGTCAGGAAGTTTAGCTGGTGCTGGCTATCAGGAAGAACAGCACCTGGAGTTTAAAGGTTCGTTTTCAAACCAGCAGCCATCTAAGGGAGCCATCCACTACGCCCACCTGGGAGATGCACATGAACATCTGTAACCCAAGGATTGCAAGTTATAGAATCCAAATCAGAAGGAGGGAATGGTATCAGAGCTAACATTGTGAAAGTCTGGTTTGCAGAAAGCTACGGACGACAGTGGAAGCCCAAAATACATAAACGCAGGGTCTACACAGGGGATAAGCCCCCAGTGATTTCTCTCTGAGTCTCAGGGATGAGAAATAACCTGGCTATCAGACAGAGAGTATGGGAGAGATGATTATAGGAGATTAAAAAGATAGATCTGGCTCAAATGGTTAAAACTTTGTCATTTGATTTCCCTTTTGATACATTTTGAGCTTGATATGTTTTAAAATATTTTCCATTTTTGTTTTCATATAGGGGTTCACCTCTCTTGTATTTTGCTATTGTTGATAGCCTTCTTGACTCCCTGTCATGTATTTTTCTGTTTTTCGGCTTATAAAACCCAGGCTGGGTGAATCTACAGGGACGATAACTAGATAAGGGTTCCTGGGGGGTATGGCGGGGGAGGTGGGAGGTAATGGGGAGCTGATATTAAGAAGCACAAGAAGGAAAATCATTTTGAAAATGATGTGGTAGCAATTGTACAACATCGCTTCATATGACTAAACTACTGAGTGGTATGCGGTCTGGATTATGTCCTAATGAAATGGTTTGGAAAAAATCCTGATGTGGCATTCTTCTCCCTAAAGTCCAGCTTCTCCGGTTATCTGCTCAGCATGCAGACTGATTAAGTCTGGTGCAAGGCTACAACGCCGATGCCCGTCGTTCCCGATTTTAAATCAGGCAGCATCCCCAGCATTCCCCTAAGGACTGCCTCTTGGCCCATGTACAGGTTCCTCATGGGCACAGGAAGTATTCTAGAATTCGCATTCTCAAGGCTATCCAAAGCTTGTGCTGATCTACACATAATCAATAAAACACAGCAATACCTTTCTGGGATCCTTGGCGATCAGCCCTGATCCATCTGACATCAGCAATGATATCCCTTCCTCCACGGCCTGTTCTGAATCCAGCTGGACCTCTGGCAGTTAGTTCCCTGTCAGTGTACTGCAGCGCCGTTGTTGGATGATCTTCAGCACAACTTTGCTTGCATGTGTTACTAGTGATGCTCTTTGAGAATTTCTACATTCTCATCGCTTCTCGGCCTTTTGGCTAAGATCAAGTGTAGAATTTCTACATTCCGACGGGGTCATCTTTCTTTGGAATGTGTAACAAATATATGGCTCTCCTCCAGTTGGCTGGCCAAGCAGTGGTCTTTCTTGGCCTAGATGAATGTGCACGTCCAGTGCTTCCTGGGCTTGCGGAAGCATTCCAGTTGGCATTCCACCAGTCCCTGGAGCCTGGTTTTTTGATAGTGCCTTTAGTACAGCCTTGGACTTCTTCCTTCCGTACAATTGGTTCTTGATTAGATGTTACCTCTTGAAACGGATGAATATCAACCAGTTCTTTTGGCACCTTGACTCTGTGTATACCTTCCATCATCTTTTGAGGCTTCCGGCATGACTCCATAGTTTGCCCATAGAATCTTTCAGTGTTACAACACGAGGCTTGATTTATTTTTTCTTTGGTTCTTTCAGCTTGATATATGCTGAGCGTGTCCTTTGTGGTTTTCCAACTTAGCTCTCCGCACATTTTGTTATAATAATGCTTTGCTTTGTCTTCTTGACCTGCCCTTTGAGCTCTGTCATCAAGGGCAAGTTCCAGAGTCTCTCCTGACATTCCCTCTGGTCTTTTCCTTCTTTCCTGCAGGTAAGTAACCTTCTGCATTCCTCATGCATAACGCTGCCGAGGAGTCAAGTTTATTCTTGAGATGTTCTAGAAATTCAGGTGGGACAGACTCAAGTTCGTAAGGTGGCTCTCACAGACTTGTGTTAACTTTCTTCAACTTCAACCTGAACTTAGATAGGAGCAATTGACGGTAAGTTCCATCCAGTCAGCTCCTGGCCTTGTTTTGGCTGCTGATACGGAGTTTCTCACTCATCTTGCCCCACGGAGGTGGTCAGCTCGATTCCTGTGCGTCCCATCTGGTGAAATCCACGGGTATATTGCTGTCTGTGCTATTGAAAAGCGTTATTTGCAATGACAGAAGTCATTGGTTTTGTAAAATTCTATCCTGTGATTTCCACTTTCGTTTCTATAACCAAAGCCTTATTTTCTAACTACTGTTCCTTCCTCTTTGTTTCTGACTTTCACATCCCATCACCAGTAATCATCCAAGCATCTTCGCTGCATATTTGCTCAATTTCAGACTGAAGAAGTTGGTACAATTCTTTCATTTCTTCACCACCAGCGTTAGTGGTTGGTGTGTAACTGAGGATAATAGTTTTATTAACTGCATTTCCTTGTATGTGCATAGATCTTTATCTTTCAGTGTTTTAAATGCATTAAAAAGAGTTGTACTATCATCACCACAATCAATTTTAGGGCATTTCCTTCGTTCTCGTACCATTATTACTAGCTCCCTATCATCCCACAAACTCCCTTGCTATAACTCGAAGGAACTGTTAATCTAGTTAGGGTCTCCGTGGATTTTCTGACCCTGAATTTCACATAAAGGAAATCATAAAACAAGCCTTAACAAGGGCAACAATGTAAAACAGAAAAACCTCAATCCAAAAGAAAGCAGACAACAGAAACTAGAATACATTAAAAATTAGTCAAAACGGAAAAATGGTAATGTGCTATTTTTACCTTACTATAGCTGCAGGGACCCCAGGTGATGCAGTGGTTAAGCCGTGGGCTGCGATCTGCAAGGCAGGCAGTTCAAAACCACCAGCAGCTCCGCGGGGGAAAGCCTGGGCTCTCTACTCCCCGTCTCGGAAACCCACACGGGTCACCGTGAGTCAGCACTGACGTGATGACACTGAGTGTTGATTTTATCTCTGCAGTTGTCCAGTTTCTCGTGGACTCTGTTGGGGGGCAAGGTCATTCACGTCCCTGGTCACTGGTCTGAGGGATTCAGCGGAGGTGGGGTGACTCGGCAAACAGGTTTTGGGCTTTCACTGTCATCCACAGGTGCTCAGAATGTAAGCCCTGGTACAATTCCCGCTTTGATCTTGGAGTTGATTATTTACAATTCTCGGATCACATGGGATGGTGGGCTCCTTCGGTGTGGACTTAACTGACACCTCAATTAGATGGTTGGCTGCATTGGGTGATACCCTACCACAGACAGCACTGCACCTCCAGGTTGATCTAGAAAAGCTCTTTTACAGTAGCTAGGCTAAATAGTTGTTTACTTTTAAGAAGACTTCAGGGGATTTTTTGTTTTGTTTAAGTTTTAAAGGTTATCTCAGGGAAACAGTTTCAGGGGTTCATTCTCTCTCCATGGCTTCAGAAAGTCCAGCGTCCATGAGAATTCGAACATCTGTTTTGCATTTCCCCGCAAATGTCCAGTAATCCTAGCTGGGTACCCTCCTGGTCTCATGGCAAAGGAGACAGCTGTTGATGGAGACAATTAGCCAGCGTCGTCTATATCCTTTTTCTGTTCCCGGCTCTCCTTCTTCCTCGTTGTCGCAGGTGAATGGGGACCAACTGCCGTGCTTTGGAGGGTGAACTGCAGGCTTTTAAGAACCCAAGTACGGTGCCACAGTCAGGCACTCGGCATGCTACCCAGCTAACTGCGGTGATGGGCTGAGCCGTGCAACCATGACCCTAAGCGTCCAGACTAAAGAACCAAATCCCAGGAAGTGGCTGATGGTACAGAAGCAGCCTCAGCATTTTTATTTTTTTTTAGTGGTGAGAGTAGCTGCCCAACTCAGAGCATGTCCCCCACGTCCCTGGACGGGACCTGCAGGAACCGTTGCGTTGGCACACGCTCTGCTCAGTGTGCTCTCACGTCAACAACAGTGGACAACAACATAAAAAAAATCCCTTCAATGCTTCTGAAAACCCAGAGTGTGCATCTCGCCCACGGGCACACTGACCCGGCTCACCTGTGTACCGGAAGCCGTGGATGAAGCCCCCCGCAGACTTCCGGTAGTCCACCGAGTGACTGGCTGTACCCAGGACAAAGAGGCCCCGGCTTCCTTTGGACTCGTAGCTGGCCTTGATCAGTGGGTACTTCTTGCTGAATGCACCCCCTGAGGCGAGTCTGAGGGAGCTGTCAGGGAAAGGGAGCTTACGTTAAAAGAGCTACTGGCTGGGAAGGGAGGAGCCCTGGGGCCCAGCTGGTTAAGGGCTGGGAGGCCAACTTGCAAGGTCCGCAGTTCAGAGCCATGAGAGGCTCTGTGGGAGAAAGAACGAGGCCGCTTGTTTCTGTAGAGATTTACAGCTCTGGAAACTCTGTGGGGCCAGTTCTAGTCTGCCCTAGCAGGTCTTTAGGAGTTGAAATAGACTTACCAGCAGTGGGGTTTGGGGCATATGAAGACCCTCTTTGGTGCCTGGCATAAAACCCACCCCATCTCACCCTCGCCTCAACCCTGGGAGGTGACAGTTATTTCCATTTAACAGATGAAGGGACTGGGGCTTCACAGGGACAGAGGGAGGATTCAAGCCCAGGGCTATGGGCTCAGACCAGTTCCTGCTGAGCCCAGAGAGAAAGGTGGGCTTGATCCAGGTGGCCCCTTGGCCTCTGGTGTCTTGGCAGGAAGACACGTGAGAGGCTGGGCAGATGGATTCTTGGGTTGTCCATCGGGTAGGGGGCAGCAGTGTCTAACAACGGTCGCTGTGGGCTGTAGAGTGGGTTCTGACTCCCAGGGACCCCCGTGTGATGGAGGGCGCTCAGCTACAGTGTTCACGATAGCAGATTGCCAGGCGATTCTCTGTGGGTGCCATGGGGTGGTGGTGACCTGCCAACGCTTTGGTGAGCGTCCGAGAGCTTAGTCACTGTACCGCCATGGCTCCCTTTCGCTGAAAGAGGCAGATCCTCAAAAGTGAAGCTGGAGATTCATTTACCCGCAGCGGACGTCCTTTTGGGCACAGCCCAGAGCGTCTGCCGAGTATCTTTCTACCCTCGCTTTCTGAGAAGGAAACCAGGGGGCCCCTTGTTGAGCTGGAGGAATGGGGACACAGAGGAGTTAAGCAATGTTCTCAGAACTGTGAGCAGTAACTTTTGGTGCCGTCAGGGGGTCACGGATTGGTTCTGACCCACAG